AGGCGGAGGTTGCGGCAAGCTGAGATTGGGCCATTGCACTCCAGCCTGGGCGACAAGAGCAAAACTCCGTCTCAAAAAAGAAAAAAAATTACAAATAGCCATGGATGCAAGATACTTCAAGCTCTGTGTTTTATTTGTTAATTATTTTGCTCTTCTTTCTACTTTAATTTGAGACTGTCAGGCTTGCCTTTATTTTCTCCATGTATTAAAAAGTGGAATTCTAGTAGTCTTCAAACTGTAGGCTCTTCTGGCTGTTAACCAGGAAAACATGCTTATTCTTCCCCATAACTGTAAAAAAGACATTAATGTATTCTTTCTTTTTTTTTTTTTTTTTGAGATGGAATTTCGCTGCTCTTGTCACCCAGGCTGGAGTGCAATGGCGCGATCTCAGCTCACCGCAACCTCTGCCTCCCAGGTTCAAGCGATTCTCCTACCTCAGCCTCCCGAGTAGCTGGGATTACAGGCATGCCCCATAAGAGTTTCACCATATTGGTCAGGCTGGTCTCGAACTCCTGACCTCAGGTGATCAGCCCACCTTGGCCTCCCAAAGTGCTGGGATTACAGGCGTGAGCCACTGTCTCCTGCAGAAGGCATTCCTCTATTATTTCTAAAAGAGAAGTCTTGCAAGATCCGAGAACCTCAGTGATTATAACCATGGCTGGTGAAAGTCACCTTTTAACCTCCACATCATAATTCTGATTGGTTATCTACCTGATAAGGTAAAATCTTTTTGTTTTTTTTTGGAGATGGAGTCTCACTCACTCTGTTGCCCAGGCTGGAGTGCAGTGGTGCGATATCGGCTCACTGCAACCTCTGCCTCTGAGGTTCAAGTGATTCTCCTGCCTCAGCCCCGAGTAGCTGGGACTACAGGCGTGCGCCACCATTCCTGGCTAATTTTTGTATTAGCAGAGACGGTGTTTCACTATGTTGGCCAGGCTGATCTCGAACTCCTGACCTCAAGTAATCGGCCTGCTTTGGGTTCCCAAAGTGCTGGGATTACAGGCGTGAGCCATCATGCCCGGACAAGGTATGATCTTAATGCTTACATTTAGAGTAACAATTCCATTTTCTGAAAGGTAATTACTTTAGTCTATGATCCTGTAACAGGATGAAAGTGAAAAATAAAGAAGGGTATCCCATCAATTCCTCCAAACGTGTAACACCAACTTTTAGGATGTTTTGTTTATGACATAAGACTTTCTGATTTATGAATTACTGTGTGTACCACATATTATATATTAGTGAGGCTTAACATCTTTCACAGATTAAAAACTAATAGAATTTCGAATATGTTCTTCCTACAACCCACTGCATCATCTTGCCTGCTTGCTGAAACCACTTTTGAGACTATCAGCATAGGAGGTAAAACATGCTCTTGAGTGTGCAATGGGTTCCTTACCTCCCCTGCTAAACAAGTGAGAAAAAGAGAGCCAGCATGGTGACGCCCATCTTGAGTTCCCAAGAGGCTGCAGCTGGAGGGTGGCTTGAGCCCATGAGTTCTGGGCCTTAGTGTGCTATGGCAATGGGGTGGTCTGCATGAAGGCTGGCTTCAATATGGTGACCTCCTGGGAGCTGGGGACCACCAGATTGCTCAAGAAGGGTGAATCAGCCCAGGTCAGAAATGAAGTAGGTCAACAACAACGACAAAAAAAAAAAAAGAGATGGATTGTCTTCTAAGCCGTGCTATCATGGCAGGCACTGGTAATAAAATCGCCCAACACTAGGAAGAGTTTGAAATCATTCTAGGAGTCCAGCGTGGTGGTGCACACCTGTAGTCCCAACTACTTGGGAAGGTGAGGCTGGAAGATTGCTTGAGCACAGGAGTTTGAAGCCGTAGTCAGCTGGGATTGCACCACTGCACTCCAGCCTGTGCAAAAGAGTAAGACACCGCTTCTAAAAATAGCATCAAATAAAAAATAAAATCATTCTAGGGAAGCTGATATGTATTTTCATTTGAAGCTCTGATTGCAAAACATAATTATTCAAAATTTAGTCTTAGCTTTATTTTCTTGTTTAGCTTAAGTCCTTTCATGCTAGATCTTTGGTGCTGCTGGGTCAATAATTTGGCCTGATTATGTGCTAAGTTTAACTACATAAAGTTTATGTACTTAAGTATTGTCAGAAACCAGGTTAGGTCTTTGGGTAGCAGACTGATTGAAAGGGATAGCTCACAGGGGACAGTACACAAAGCATAACTATTCAATTTTGAGACAGTTTGTTGCCAATGTCCCTTTAATCAAGGATTATAAACTAGGGGCCAGTGCAGAGGCTCACCCCTATAATCCCAGCAGTTTGGGAGGCCAAGGCGGTAGGATCGCTTGAGCTCAAAAGTTCGAGACCAGCCTGGGCAACATAGGGAGATCTTGTCTCTACAAAAGTTTAAAAATGAGCCAAGTGTGTTGGTGCATGCCTGTAGTCCCACTACCCAGGAGCAGAGGCAGGAGGATCCCTGGAGCCCAAGAGGTCAAGGCTGCAGTGAGCCATAACCATGCCACTGCATTCCAGCCTGGGCAACAGAGTGAGACCATCTCTCAAATAAGTAAACAAACAAACAAACAAATAAACAAACTAGGGCTGGGCTATAAGCCTCACCTAGTAGCCTCTCAAAGAAAAGAGGTAAAATTTTAAAAAGCAGGAAAAAAAAAATACCCAAAAAAAACCCCGACAACAGTTTCCATGTCACATCCTTCTTGTAAAGATGAACTACTAATTATTTCCCTGAAACCCTCACCTGGAGACAGGAGGGCTAGTAGTTAGTGAAGTCCCCATCAACAATTCTCAATCACTGGAGAATTTATTTAACCAAGAGAATCACTTGCTATGTTTATTTAAAATACAGATTCTTAGGCCCTGTCTTAAGAATCTGGTTGGCTGGGAGCAGTGGCTCACGCCTGTAATCCCAGCGCTTTGGGAGGCTGAGGTGGGCGGATCATGAGGTCAGGAGTTCGAGACCAGCCCAACCGACATGGTTAAACCCTGTCTCTACTAAAAATACAAAAATTAGCTGGGTGTGGTGGCTCTGTACTCCAGCCTGGGTGACAGAGCGAGACTCCGTCTCAAAAAAAAAAAAAAAAAAAAAAAAAAATCTGATTTAGGTGTGGGATAGCACCGGCTTTAATAGAGACAAGATAGACTTCTCAAAATGCATTAGACACATTATAGCTGAGCCATTTCCCTTCCCTATTAGCAATTCAGCCTGCTTATACAGAATGATTGTATCACAGAGTTAGTAGCAAGTAAGCTGGAGAGCAAATGAGATTTCAAAGACTACTGATATACTGATAGGGGACTCAAGATTTAAAACAGATATGGAGATACCTGGACTAGCACCTACCCTCAAAGAAGTTTGAGCTGTGTTAGTTAAGACAGAGAACTATTTTTTTGTTGAGACTGGGTCTTGCCATGTCACCCAGTCTGCAGTGCAGTGGCTATTCACAGGTGCCATCGTGCAGTACAGCCTTTAACTACTGGGCTCAAGCCATCCTCCAGCGTCAGCCTACTGAGTAGCTAGGCATGTACTCAACTAGAAGCCTGACGCATTCATATAAAATCTTTTTCATTTTAAAATAATGAATTCTGTTTTTGAGACTCTTCCCTAGTAAACTATTCCAGTACAGTTTTTAAAAGATGATTTTTTCCCCTCTTCTAAGACAGAATTTGTTCTATATATTCTAAACGTATCTTCTGGCACTGAACTAATTAACTCCCTCCCCTATCACCGATACTAAATATGAGGGTAGTTATGTTATTTTAACTAATTGATATAATGATTCTGTAATTCATTAAAGAAATGAATTTTGGCCTGGTGTGATGGCTCACGCCTGTAATCCCAGCACTTATGGGAGGCCAAGGAAGGCAGATTACTTGAGGTCAGGGGTTTGAGACCAGTCTGGCCAACATGGCAAAACCCCATCTATACAAAAATACAAAAACTAGCCGGGCATGGTGGCATACGCCTGTAATCCCAGCTACGCAGCGGGCCGAGACAAAGGAATCGCTTGAACCCAGGAGGCAGAGGTTGTGGTGAGCTGAGATTGTGCCCCTACACTCCAGCCTGGTCGTCAGAGCGAGACTCCATCTCAAAAAAAAGTATTTTAATGGCTTTGATCTTCTTATGTTAACAGGAGACAAATGCCAATAAAAGGAAGTTAACACATACTGGTATCAAGTACTGGACAAGACTTTTTACACACAGTAAAATTCATGCACTGATATAACCACTTTATGAAGTAAGTATTCTCTTCACAAAAGAGGGAGAGAGACTAAAAGACATTCACTGACATGTCTAGGATCACATAGCTAGTATGTGTTATAAGAAGAAATTTGGTGTTTGTCTCAGGTTCTTAACACAGAGCTCCTAAAACCCTAGGAACTTCCCAAGTGATGGGACTGTCTTACCTGTAAGGAGCCCTTTTTGATCACCCTATTGCTATCTGGATAGAATTTATGCTGGATAGTTTATGTTAATGAGGTTACTTAGGCGGAGCCCCTAGATAGCCTCAGGATGTGGCTTACTACAAAGACCAAGTGACTGATTAGCCGTTGGAACTTTCAGACCCACCTATTGACCTCGGGGAAGGAAAGAGGGAGGGGGGTCTGAAAATCAAACTCTGTAACTCTTGGGATCTGATGAGCTTCCAGGTTCCCGAATCTAGTGTTGGGGGAGTGGCATGCCCAGAGGAAGCCTAGAAGGTCTGCAGGCACCCCCTTGCCTCCCACCCTGCCATACCTTGCCTTATGCAGCTCTTCCATCTGGCCGTCCCTGAATTGTATCCTTTATGATAAACTGGTAAACATAAGTGAAGTGTTTCCTTTAATTCTGTGAGGCATTCTAGCAAATTATTAAACCCAAAAAGGGAGTCATGGAACCCCTGATTTATAGCTGGTTGGTCAAAAGTACTAGATGCCCAGACTTGCAATTGGCATCTGAAGTAAGCAGAAGCAGTGTTGTGCAACTGAGTCCTTTACTTGTGGGTCTGATGTCAACTCCAAGTAGACGAGTGTCAGAACTGAACTGAACTGTAGGACACTCAACTGGTGTCAGAAAATTGGTTGGCGTGAAGAAGTAAAACCACACATTTTCGTGACCTAGTGTTCTGTGCTGTATTGGGTGTGTTTGGTTTTTCCTCTCTTGTACACAGTAAGTTAAAGAGACGATTTTGCACTGGTCTTGTTGGCGTGTGCCTGGTAGTCCCAGCTATCCGGGAGGCTGAGGTGGGAAAACTGCTTGAGCCCAGGGGTTCAGAGCAGCCTGAGCAGCCCCATCTCTGGATAGAGAGAGAGAAGAAAAAAAGGATTTTGACCTAGGTCTGAATTCAAAGTTCATGCTCTTTCTCTATGTGCTGCTTCCTACTAAAATCTATAAATAACCCTAAAATAGTCAATTATATTAGCCTTTTCTTAAACTATCTTTGGCCAGAACTACTGAAAAGGAGGCAAAGACTCTTATGACCCTTTTCTGTTCTTGTTCAGATATGTATGTTTAAAATGTGTACAACAGGATAATGGAAAAAATAAAGGAATTTCATAATCTGCCATTGACTACATGACAACACTGCTTGTGGACATTTTATTCACTTTAAAATAAATATTGTGCTGTAAACTGTTCAGAAGTGAAATCTATATTACAGTAGGCAAGTACAAGGGATAGACAGCACAGTGTTTTGTTAGAGCAAACCATTCTGAGTCTCAGAGAAGCATCACCAACTGTCTACATCAGATAGATACTCTGAGAGTAAACATAAGAAGAAAAAAGAAATAGATAGAAGTTCTGAGAGAGAAGCAACCTATTATAAATAAGAGTTTCTTAAGATTAACAAGGGTGAGGACAACTCCCATGTGAGCCTCTACCATGTGCCCAGTTTCTACTTTAACACCTTGCAGAGAGCAGTTGCTATATAAAAATCTGTTGAAAGGATTTCAGGCACTAGAATTTACATATTTTACATGGTCTCTCATTTAAACCTATCAATTTCTTTCTTCATGAATTTTACTTCATTAGCTAGTTATATACATTATAATTTACATAATAAATCTATTATTTAAAAACTTTCAATAGGTACAACAATTATGACATTTGATTAGGCTGGACTCTAACTTGCTTGGATGAGATTTATTTTGGAATCACAGTATCCAAGCAAGAAAAACAATCAGTTTATAAGACACAATAAAAATGAAAAAGAGCGAGACAAATGTCTGCCTTAGAAGTTTATCAATAACCTCTTATATACACATATATATTCACAAAGTGTTTGAGAGTCATTTTATACGATCTTTTAGAAGAGGTCCAATGGCTGAGAACTCTATAATGAGACACGGTCGGACAGAAATTATCATGGCTTTCAATGATCTTTTCTTTCCCCTAACTTGAATATCCTTTAGTTGGGGAGAGAAAGAAGTCCATTTTCGTCTGCTGTATCTAAGATTTTACAGATCACTGGAGATTCAACCTAAAGAAGAAGAACAAAGCCATTAAAAAGTTGCTAAGCTGAATACTTTTCAGTACTATTCTGCTGAATGGATACATGTAGTTATATTTGCTAGAAGCATGAGTCCTTGTTTTAGATAAACATCCAACATTATTTCTACAAATTAAGCTTCTTGAAAAACAACTTTTAGTCATCCATACAGAATATCAGACAAGTGGAGAAAATATTTTTAAACAAGCAGGGGAGGGAAAAGGAACAAAGGACAGGAATAAGACAGGAATACATAGCTAGATTTTAGACAACAAAAATGATAGAACATTATGGCAAAATAATTAAGTGTATTTAAAATAAAAGGTAAAGAAAAATGTAACCCAAAGATGGAATACATGTTGAAATTATCAGATGTTATAATAATTATAATAAACATGATGAAGAAAACATGCACGACCAGATAGGAAATTTCAGCAGAGATAAAAAAGAACCAAGTGGAGGCTGGGCGCGGTGGCTCACACCTGTAATCCCAGCACTTTGGGAGGCCGAGGCGGGCGGATCATGAAGTCATAAGATCGAGACCATCCTGGCTAACACAGTGAAACCGTGTCTCTACTAAAAATACAAAAAATTAGCTGGGCGTGGTGGCACACGCCTGTAGTCCCAGCTACCGGGGAGGCTGAGGCAGGACAATCCCTTGAACCCAGGAGGCAGAGGTTGCAGTGAGCCAAGATTGTGCCACCGCACTCCAGCCTGGGCGACAGAGCAAGACTCCATCTCAAAAAAAAGAGAAAGAAATAAAAAACAAACAAACAAAAAGAACCAAGTAGAAATGTTAAGAGATAAAAAATACGTCAGTGATAAATTCATTCACTGGACTGGACACAGCAGAGGAATTAACAAGTTTGAAGACAGCTTAATAGAAATGACCCAAATTGAAACAAAGGAAGAAAAGTGTGAATAAAGGAGTGTCTGAGATTTTGGGATAATTTTATACTAATATGTCTTACTGGAGTATCAGAAATAGAGGAGAAAAAGAATAGAGCAGAATAAATCTTTGAGGAGAAAATGTCCAAAAATTTCCCCAAATTGATGAAATATATCAACCCACAAATCCAAGAAGCTCAGTGAACTCCAAGCAAGATAAATACAGAGAAAACCACATTTAAGCATTAGATAATCAAAGGTAGAACCATAGTCTTTAGAAGGAAATACAGGAGAACATTTTCATGATTTTGGGGTAGTCAAAATTTCTTTTTTTTTTTTTTTTGAGACGGAGTCTTGCTCTGTTGCCCAGGCTGGAGGGCAGTGGAGCGATTTTGGCTCACTGCAAGCTCTGCCTCCCGGGTTCACGCCATTCTCCTGGCTCAGCCTCCCAAGTAGCTGGGACTACAGGTGCCTGCCACCGCACCTGGCTAATTTTTTTGTATTTTTAGTACAGACGGGGTTTCACCATGTTAGCCAGGATGGTCTCGATCTCCTGACCTCGTGATCCGCACGCCTCGGCCTCCCAAAGTGCTGGGATTACAGGCGTGAGCCACCGCGCCCGGCCCATAAAAATTTCTTAGAACACAAAAAGCGTTAGCTATTAAAGAGGAATAAATGATAAATTGAATTTCATGAAATAAAAAATTTTTGGTCACCAAAAGACATTAGTAAGAAAATGGGGCTGGGTGCAAGTGGCTCACACTGTAATCCCAGCAATTTGGGAGGCCGAGGCGGGCAGATCACCTGAGGTGAGGAGTTGGAGACTAGCCTGGCCAACAAGGTGAAACCCTGTCTCTACTAAAAATACAAAAATTAGCCGCATGTGGTACCATATGCCTGTAATCCCAGCTACTGGGGAGGCAGAGGCAGGACAATTGCTTGAACCCAGGAGGCGGACGGAGGTTGTGGTGAGCCGAGATCGTGCCACTGCACTCCAGCCTGGGTGACAGAGTGAGACTCCATTTCAAAAAAAAAAAAAACCAAAACCCCAAAATCAGCCAGGCATGGTGGTGCATGCTTGTAGTCCCAGCTACCTGGAAGGCTGAGGCACAAGAATTGCTTAAACTTGGAAGGCAGAGACTACAGTGAGCCAAGATTGTACCACTGCATTCCAGCCTGTGTGGTGGCTGAGCCTATAATCCCAGCACTTTGGGAGGCCAAGGTGGGAGGATCGCTTGAGTCTAGGAGTTTGAGACCCACATGGCCAATATGGCAAGACTCTATCTGTATTTAAAAAAAAAAAAAAAGGGCCGGGCGCGGTGGCTCAAGCCTGTAATCCCAGCACTTTGGGAGGCCGAGACGGGCGGATCACGAGGTCAGGAGTTCGAGACCATCCTGGCTAACACGGTGAAACCCCGTCTCTACTAAAAAATACAAAAAACTAGCCGGGCGAGGTGGCGGCGCCTGTAGTCCCAGCTACTCGGGAGGCTGAGGCAGGAGAATGGCGTAAACCCGGGAGGCGGAGCTTGCAGTGAGCTGAGATCTGGCCACTGCACTCCAGCCTGGGCGACAGAGCGAGACTCCGTCTCAAAAAAAAAAAAAAAAAAAAAAAAAAAAAAGAAAGAAAAATGAATCGGCAAGCCACAGACAGAGAAAAAAATACGTGCAATACAAATACAAAGTTAATATCGAGACCTCTGTTAAGACGTGTTGAGAAGTGAGGACCTGAAATGTTCTCAACACATAGAAATAATAAATGCTTGTGGTGATGAATATTCTGAATACCCTGACTGGATCACTACACATTCTATGGATGTAACAAAGTATCATATGTAACCCATAAACATATACAAATACTATGTATCAATAGGAAAAAAAATAACACAACACCAAACAAAAAGTGTTACACTTAGTCAAAGACTTCAGGCACAAAAATATTATATACTATATGATTCCATTCATGTGGAATCCAAAAAACAGACAAAACTAATCTACAATGTCATAAATCAGAAAGGAGTATCTTTGAGCAAGGCTAAGTGGTGTTTACTGGAAGGGAGTATGAGAGAACTTTCTGCAGTGACATATCTTGTTTTGGGTGATAGTTACATGGGTATATATAATTGTCAAAACTTTTCACGCTCAACACTTAATATCTGTGGATTTTATTTCATGTAAATTATCTCTCAATAAAAAATGTCACAGGCCGGGCGCGGTGGCTGAAGCCTGTAATCCCAGCACTTTGGGAGGCCGAGACGGGCGGATCACGAGGTCAGGAGTTCGAGACCATCCTGGCTAACACGGTGAAACCCCGTCTCTACTAAAAAATACAAAAAACTAGCCAGGCGAGGTGGTGGGCGCCTGTAGTCCTGGCTACTCGGGAGGCTGAGGCAGGAGAATGGCGTAAAAACCCGGGAGGCGGAGCTTGCAGTGAGCTGAGATCCGGCCACTGCACTCCACCTTGGGCGACATAGCGAGACTCCGTCTCAAAAAAAAAAAAAAAAAAAAAAATGTCACAAAAAACCATGTCAACTACTACACAAGTGGTATGTGGGCCATATTAAGCCTTGGAGACTACTGAAGGTCCTGCCTAAATTTAATGCAAAAAATTATAACATGGCGGCCGAGCGCAGTGGCTCACACCTGTAATCCCAGCACTTTGCGAGGCTGAGGCGGGTGGATAACCAGAAGTCAGGAGTTTGAGACCAGCCTGGCCAACATGGTGAAACCCCGTCTCTACTAAAAATACAAAAATTAGCTGGACGTGGTGGTGCGTGCCTGTAATCCCAGCTACACAGGGGGCTGAGGCAGAAGAATCGCTTGAATCCAGGAGGCAGAGGTTGCAGTGAGCCGAGATTGTGCCACTGCACTCCAGCCTGAGCCACAGAGCAAGACTCTGTCTCAAAAAGAAAAAAAAAAAAAAGAAAAAAAAGAAAAATTAACAAAAGGCTCAAAATTGAATTTTTGATTATTTTCTTTTTAACTTACCCCAAGAATATATTGACAGGAGTGAGGCTCTAGCATATATACAGTAACAGCGTGAGGCGAATCTGATTCTTTACACCTAAAACAGAGAGAACTTTAAGGTATTGCCCAAATCATTTCAAGTGAGATCACTGCTAATAGCTGTACTCTTAAAAATCCCATTCAAGTGGACCCTGTATGATTTAATACAATTTTATCAATAATTTAAATAGTATACTTTCGTAATTATTCATAATTATACTTTTTGTTTACATAAAACTTTTGTCCATAGGAAGCAGGTAAAAGAAAAAGGCATATAGCATGATTTGATGGTCTAACTTACTTTAGTTTTACAGTCACCTGTCTTGGTTTGTCAGTTATATCACAAATATCTCCATTTCCATAAAAATGTGACACCATCCTGAATCAGAGAAACACATAAGTTTTATTAAACTAAAATCTCACTAATAGAATAATTGTAATGGGTAAGGTGAGAAGATGGTTAGAGGGATCAGTTTAACATTAGCTAAAAAATAAACCTGACTATATTCTTTTTTTTTTTTTTTTTTTTTTTGAGACAGAGTCTTGCTCTGTCGCCCGGGCTGGAGTGCAGTGGCCAGATCTCAGCTCACTGCAAGCTCCGCCTCCCGGGTTTACGCCATTCTCCTGCCTCAGCCTCCCGAGTAGCTGGGACTACAGGCGCCGCCACCTCGCCCGGCTAGTTTTTTGTATTTTTTAGTAGAGACGGGGTTTCACCGTGTTAGCCAGGATGGCCTCGATCTCTTGACCTCGTGATCCGCCCATCTCGGCCTCCCAAAGTGTTGGGATTACAGGCTTGAGCCACCGCGCCCGGCCTGACTATATTCTTTAAAAGAGTATTTTTAGGGTTATCTCACAGAGGCAGTCTCTTGGATTCTATAAAGAGAATATAAGAGAGAGAAACTTCATACTGGCTTAGTTAATAATGATTATTTTCAGCTTGCATATTATTTATTTGTATACAAATAATTATGGTTAGATCCCTTTAAAAAATTGTTTTAAAGTTATCAGTTTCCCTAGCCCACTATATTGTTTTGTGAAACAGTTCTTTGCTTCCGTCCTCCATCAAGCTACTCCCATTAAAATACTGTACGTTAGGCACTGTAGTATAGGAGACAAAGCCTAGGCCAAACTGTCAATCTCAAATGAGCAGGATCCAAAGAAAAGCTTCATTTTACCAGTCTAACACTCATGCTTCAACATATATTGTACATGATACCACAACTGTTTTCACATAAAACATATACCTACAAGGATAAGAGAAATCAGTCTGTTTAGTATAATAATTAAATGTCTATGTTTTAATTTTGCTGACTTTGACTCTGATCAGCCCAAAAAGTCAGTACACTCTGAAAACAATCCAAATCATCTGTTTTAGGAAGGAAAAGGTAATACCCAAGAAGGAACAAGAAAGAATAATTTAAAACATACTGAGTAAAAGTCTACAAGAAAAGCTAAAGTGTAGTTATTCTTGGGAAATGAGATTAACTTACTGGTGTTTTGACAAGATATACTCATATATCCTAAAACAGATGTGAGGTAGTTTTTAAAAAATAGCCTCAGTTCTAACAGAATTGAGTCATTGTTACTAACACCACCACCACTCTCATTAATGTACTACCCCCATTGTTAAGGGCAGCAGCCCAGGTTTATTGCATGCTATTGTCAGGCATTCTCCTTTACATAAATTACCTCTTAAATGACACAATAATTGTAAGAGGCAAATACCATTAGACACCAAAAGTGACAGAAAAAAGATTCTGTCATTTCTCCAAGGTAGGAAGTGATGAGCCAGCATTTGAATCCAGGTAGTGTGACTCCAAGGACTGTGCTCTCAACTATTACACTGTGTTGCTTCCCCAAGAAAAGAAAACTAACCTAAAAGATGTCCCTTGAAAAAAACTAACCAGGGATTTTACTTAAATGTTTGAATTTTTTTGTTTTTCAATATTTTGAGTTTTAGAAATTCTACTAATTAGCTACAAAGGCAAGTAAAGTGAATCTTTACCTGACTGTCTGGGTACCATCATCTTGAAGATGATAAGCTCTAGCAGTATTCTTCTTAGCCCATTCAATATGCTCTTCTTGGTTCCATGTCCCGACAACCACAGAGGTTTTCCCACTATCCTTGTCCTAACACAGGAAAAAATATTTGTGATAATGCATGCTTGATATCATCAAGTAGATATTTATGCTGATGACCTGACCTTCTTGTAGGCTAGTCTTTATCTGCACAGTGGATCTATATTTAGGTGTAATGATATTAGTCGAATTCAATGAGTGGAAATTTAAGTACATTATCTTCTTTATTCCTTGCTTCTCTGAATAACGTAACTAATTTCTAGTCAGGCTAGCTCTAAATGTAGTTATTATTGGCTCTTCTATCTCTTTTCTCTTCTACAGATCAGTCCCATCAGTTCTTTCCTGGAGACTTTTCAGCTTTAGACTCTTCCTCTACTTTTTCACTGACAGCAACTCACCCCACAACCAAGGGTTTAATCTCTCATACCTAGATAATACTATCACATACTACTGCAATTCTTAATTCAATCTTTGGCCTCTATCTCTTCCACCGCAGCCTAACTTCATCCTATGCAATGTTATACTGATCTTTCACTATTCATTTGGTACCATACTTATTTCTCTATTGAAATTGTCTATCCAGAAACCCCTTTTCCCATCCTGCTTTTATTATTATTATTATTTTTTTTTTTTTTTTTTGAGACGGAGTCTCGCTCTGCCGCCCAGGCTGGAGTGCAGTGGCCGGATCTCAGCTCACTGCAAGCTCCGCCTCCCGGGTTTTTACGCCATTCTCCTGCCTCAGCCTCCCGAGTAGCCAGGACTACAGGCGCCCACCACCTCGCCTGGCTAGTTTTTTGTATTTTTTAGTAGAGACGGGGTTTCACCGTGTTAGCCAGGATGGTCTCGAACTCCTGACCTCGTGATCCGCCCGTCTCGGCCTCCCAAAGTGCTGGGATTACAGGCTTGAGCCACCGCGCCCGGCCTTTTATTATTTTTTTAAACACTAACTACATACTGTCTTATATGTGGACATCCTTCCTTCTTTCTTCTTCCTTTTCCTTCCTACCTCCTTGCATTCCTTTGATTTCTTTCTTCACAATGTATGCCAGACAACCATGCTGGGCACTAACAGATATCTGGTTAGTAGAATTAAAAACCCTTGGCTGGGCACGGAGGCTCACACCTGTAATCCCAGCATATTGGGAGGCTGAGGCGGGTGAAATCACCTGAGGTCGGGAGTTCAAGACCGGCCTGACCAACATGGAGAAAATACAAAATTAGCCAGGCGTGCTGGCACATGCCCATAATCCCAGCTACTCGGGAGGCTGAGGCAGGAGAATCGCTCGAACTCAGGAGGCAGAGGTTGCAGTGAGCCAAGATTGCGCCATTGCACTCTAACCTGAGCAATAAGAGGGAAACTCCATCTCAAACCAAACCAAACCAAACCAAACCAAACCAAAAAACCCCTATGGTGGCAAAGAAAACAAGCAGGGCCAATGCCCAGTAGAGCTTAGTGCCTAATTTAAGAGATAGCTAATAACATTTGGTTTTAGCTACTAGAATAAGTTCCTGGATAGGCCGAAATTAGAGCCGCAAAGTGAAGTGTTTAAGAGGTTGAATATGGAGCCAGACTGCCTGGGTCTGAATTCTAGTTTCCCCAGTTACTACCTATTTGACCTTAGGCAAGTTATTGAACCTTTATTTCTGTTTCCTCATCTTGGAATAACAACCACTTCTTAAGGTTGTTATGAATATTAAAAGAATATGTGTAAAGTACATAGTGCCTGGCATACAGTAAGCACCCTATTTGCTAGTTACTATTACTTTTAGTATCTCTCTAAATACCAAACACAGTTCCCTAGAAAGTTCCAGGTTATACAACCTTGGCTAAAATAAGTTTCATAAAACCTAGTGTTGGCAAGTGTATAGGAATGTAGCCATTGTTTATGGGAGTGTAAACTGGTCTAACTCTGGAAGGCAATTTTCCAGTATGCAGATACTTTGACCAAGGAAGTCTGTTGACAGAAATGTCCCTTATGAATATACTTGCAAAAGTATAGCAACAGAACTATTTTTAAATGTTGACTAAAACATATCACAGCAAAAACTGGAAACAACTTAAACGTCCATTAGCAGAGGTCTGGTTAAATACACTGTGGTACAGACATAATCCTCTGTACCTGCTGAAAAGAGTGAAATTGAGTGTTGCTGACATGGAGCAATCTCCAAGATACTAAGTGAAAAGAACAAGTGGCAGAACAGTGCATGATCCCTTCTCTATAAATAAAAAAGTTATACCAACATCTATAAATATGCATTTTTTTTTTTTGGTGGAGGGCAATGAAAATGTTAACAGTAGTTAAACTTTTTTAAGAAGTGGTATGATGGCAGAGGAGACAGATACTTCTCATTTAAAATTTCTGGCATACATTTCTTTAAGAAACTTATCAGGTATTGTAAGGGTTGTAGTTTGATGATACCCTTTTTCTGTACTGTTATTAAAAAAACAAACATCTGCAAAGTAGCAGGAATAAATGGAAAGAATACCTAAATGAAACCCCTTAGGTTTAAGTGAAAACAAAACAAAACAAAAAACAAACCCAACACATCCTAGTCTATTGATGTCTCATTCATTTTGGAAGATGTAAATGTGGAAGGTGAACTGACAATCTGTCCCAGTATGATCTATCTTGGAATTTGAGATCAGTTCAAAACATTATGAGTGGGCAAATACACACTTTTCTATTTTGGGTATTACTTTCTTTTTTAGATAATAAAAATGGCCTTTTAAAGCAGCTAGGTTCATACTCATTAATTAAAGCTTGTCTTCAATACCTAGCAGCTTACTTTACTAAACAAAGCATAAGTAGGACAAATAACATAATTGGAACTTGAACCTCAGAATTTAAGCAGGCTAGCTCAAGTATGGGAAAATATGCTGAGTTATAAAACTATAAATAAAAGTAAGAATAAGAACTCAAAAAGTTTAATCTTAAAACTTATTTTAAACTTAGATGATATGGTATTTTCTTTTTTAAACATTTTTAAAATTTTTTGTAGAGATGGGATTTTGCTCTCTTGCTCAGGCTGGTCTTGAACTCCTGGCCTCAAGTGATCCTCCTGCCTTGGCCTCCCAAAGCGTTTAGATTACAGGCATGAGCCACTATGCCTGGCCCAGGGTATCTTATTCTTTTGGCTGAGAAACTTGTTGTATTTACCCAATTTTTGTAACCCTAGCGATAATGTATGATCTTACCATTTATTTTCTTTCTTTTTTGTTTTTTTGAGGAGTCTCGCTTTTTTGAGACAGAGTCTCGCTCTGTTGCCCAAGCTGGAGTGCAGTGGCATGATTTTGGCTCACTGTAACCTCTGCCTCCCAGGTTCCAGTGATTCTCCTGCCTCAGCCTCCCAAGTAGCTGGAATTACAGGCATGCACCTGGCTAATTTTTGTATTTTTAGTAGTAGAGATGGGGTTTTACCATGTTGGCCAGGCTGGTCTTGAACTCCTGACCTCAGGTGATCAGCCCACCTTGGCCTCCTAAAGTGCTGGGAATATAGGTGTGAGCCACCGTGCCGGCCTCATTTTCTTAATTATTTTTTTGAGATGGAGTCTCACTCTGTCACCCAGGCTGGAGTGCTGTGTTGCAGTCTTGGCTCACTGCAACCTCCTCCGCCTCCCAAGTTCAAGTGATCCTCCCACCTCAGCCTCCTGAGTAGCTAGGATTACAGGCGTGCAGCACCACTCCTGGATAATTCATTTTCTTAATTTAAAGATGAGTTATAAGAATGATTAATTTCTTGATCAAAGCTAAAGAGGTATAGCCACAACAGCTCATTATTCTACTAGGCTCATAGTAATACAAGCATGTAAGTAATTAATAAGCAATATCACTTTAAGGTTACCGATTTGGTTAACGCCAAATGTTCTATTTTCCAAAATTTGGAGATACTTTGATTATACTAATCATATTAAAATCATCTCATAATTAAAAGTTACACCATTCCCCCTTTTTTTTCTACAATAGATTTTTAAAACTTTAAACCATCTAGTGGTAGAATGACATATAAACGCTATTCTATACCTCATGGTATTGATGTACATATTTGCCATAGCAGAATTCATATTTCCACCAACCAACACCCTAAAAAAAAGAAAACATATTAGATCAAGTTAAGCACTGGGCCTCTCTCAATAATGCCACATGATAGTAATAGAAATACATGTTATTTTTAAAACCTGTAAAAGCAACAGTACGGCTGAATATTAAAATAAAACATTACTGAGAAATTAAAGACAAATACAGAGAATATGCACTATCTTGGTAAAATTTTAAATACAATAAAACAAAAATTCCATTAGTAACTGTATTTCCCACTGGTGCTAACAGTCAGGGTCAAAATTTTTAACTTTGTAAAGGGAGATGTTGGCTGGGTGCAGTAGATCACACCTGTAATCCCAGCACTTTGGGAGGTTGAGGCAGGATGATTGCTTGAGCCCAGGAGTTTGAGATCAGCCTGGGTAACATAGTGACACCCTGTCTCTAATTTTTTTTTTTTTTTAAAGGGAGATGTTAATTCTAGTTTGAAATGTGATTGCTACAGAACCAAAATGTGGGATATACAATCACATGCTCGTTCTAGCAATCAACAAGAATCACATATGATTGCCAGAGAAAAGGTCAAATTTTTACCTTGTGAAATAAAGAACATAAAAGCTATGGATTAGATTATAGACACGTGGGGAAATGAGACTGCAGAAAGAAAATGTTCTTTGAGGATGACAGGATCCTGTCATTTCTCTATAGAAAAAAATCCTTTTCAGTGCTGTTGATGCACCAATGACCATACCTGGCAGGTAAAGTTGTAAAATAAATATTTAAATGGAAGATTTACTTCTCACCCCATGAAAGCAGTAAGAACCACTAAGAAACTCTTTTATGAGCTGGTCATCTGTCAATTTGGATATGTGGGTTGTCCCAACAGTGAGGATTGGCTGAGAGCCAATACCAATGGACTTGTGGATCGCTGGAAATCTCTCTTCTTTTGTTGATTGCAAATCTTCCTAAAATTAAACACACACATCTTTAAGGGTTTCCATGCCACACTTAATTTTTTTTTTTCAGTTATGGCTTAAGTTATTATTTTTAAACTGCAGAAAATTTGAAAAATAAATTGTCCACTTGATTTTAATACATTTTAAGGTAATGGACTTTGCAGCACTTAGCACAGGGAAAGCTCTAGACGAATGTTAGTTCCATCTATCAGTTAGGACCATCCTAAACATTAAGGGATAATTTCCATTTCATATATTTTGTCTCATTCTTCTTCTTTTCTTTATTTTTGAGATGGAGTCTTGCTCTGTCGCCCAGGCTGGAGTGCACTTGTGCGGTCTCAGCTCACTGCAACCTCTGCTTCCTGGGTTCAAGCAATTCTCCTGCCTCAGCCTCCCAAGTAGCTAGGATTACAGGAGCCTGCCACCACACCTGGCATATTTTTTTTTTCAGTACAGATGGGGTTTCACCATGTTGGTCAGGCTCGTTTCATCCTGATCTCAGGTGATCTGCCCACCTTGGCCTCCCAAAGTGCTGGGATTATAGGCATGAGCCACCGCACCCAACCTTGTTTCATTTTTCTTAATAAGTACTTTGCTCTACTTGCTAAGCTCTGTGTCCCTACATTGGTTTTGGAAAATGTGGTCACTAAGGGTAAATAAAGAATAACAAACAGGGTAAAGAGAGCTGGGTTCGAATAAATATGCATATTAGTTACAATTATTAAAATATAACAGCAGCATGCCTGTAATCCCAGCTACTTGGGAAGCTGAGGCATGAGAATCTCTTGAACCTGGGAGGTGGAGGTTGCAGTGAGCTGAGTTCACACCACTACACTCCAGCTTGGGTGACAGAGCGAGATTGTGTTTCAAAGAAAAAAAAAAAGGCAATAAGGGTGCAGAGAACAGGAGACTCAGAGAGGAAGAGGTGGCTCAAATAGGCTTTGACTAAGAACTGAAATATGAAGACTTCACAAAGAGAAAAACCCTCAATCAATTCTTGAAACATGAATAATAATTTGTGATTTATGTGTTTATCTGTGTGTTCTGTGACTGTGTGTGTATATATGCATATAGACTTGAGGAAGAGGTAAAACCAAAGATGTGGGGGTGTGATATTTAAAACTAAAGAGATAAGCAGGTGCTATATGGTAGAAAAGTAAATGCTGAGAGATTTGGACATTATTTTATAGGATTTAGGCAAAGATGTGCTGTGATGATATTTTTTAGTATATATGGTAGAAAAGTAAATGCTGAGATATTTGGACATTATTTTATAGGATTTAGGCAAAGATGTGCTGTGATGATATTTTTAAGTATTACTTCAGCAGTGGCAAGGAAGAAGGAATAGTAGGGACAAATCTAGAGGGAGAGAGTCAAGTTAGGAGTTACAGTAACCCAGGTGAGAGATGAAGAGAATCTAAAGTAAGGGAGTGACAGGGTTGGATGTAGAGAAAAGGATAGCTATTATTAAAGAGGTTAATACATTAGGATCTGGTGGTTAAATGGTATTGACTGGCAAGGAAATGAATCTAGACCAGAATTTAAAAAGTGAGTGCACCAATTATAAATGAATAATTTATAAAAATTTAGATAGTACATGGGTTCCCAATAAATATATGGTGGATACTATGTCTCCTTTTTCACTTGCTGTAGTTACCGTTAACCAACTATGGTTCTGTTGCTTCTATTTCAGCTTGTAGGAGTCAGTGGACAGTTACTACAGAAAGCAATGAACTTATTCTCTCTTCCTCCCAATATTAGGAAAAACAAGGACTGTCAAGATGTTGTCTTATTTTTTGAAAGGTCTTTGAACTTTATTGTATACCTTTTTCCACGTTCAGAGCCTACTATATTTTGGCATTAGTTTAGGTGCTCAGTATTAAAAATCAAGCAAATATAGCCATTACTCCAAAGGAGTAAGGGTCTAACAGACTAAACTAATAACCTGGGGTTACACGAACCCTCTGTTAAGGTTAATGAAGAAAAACAATAATGCTGCATAGTGAAACCAGAAGCTGAGATAAGGGGAAGAGGTAGCAAGAATAGAAGCATGACCTTTTATTACTACTTCTGTACAGAACATCCATTTTCATTTTTAAGGAAAATTATTCTAATAAAAATAGGATGGTAGTTTATATAATAGAGTAGAAAATTCATTAAATGGACTGCTAATAGTCCAGTAATCTCTCAATTAATATAATAGGCAGAACATCAAACCAAAACTCTGATAGCCAGATTTGTATTTTTGTTTATAAAAGAAAAAAATTCTTTATCTGTATGGTAAACGCTGACCTCACACTTAAGAGGCAAACCATATGCCAAATACACATTTTCAAAAGAAAAGTTATGTGTAACAGATTTATAGAAAAGTGATTCCGAAATAAAGATGATCAGTTTTAAGTAACTACTCATCCTACAGTATCAACTAAGATTTTCATATGGCACATGTACCCTAAAGATACTAAGTATCAACATCATTGATCATCAGAGAAAAGCAAATCAAAACTACAATGAGATGTCATCTGACTCCAGTTACAATGGCTTTTATCCAAAAGACAGGCAATAAGAAATGCTAGCAAGGATGTGGAGAAAGGGAACCCTTGTACACTGTTGGTGGGAATGTAAAGTAGTACAAACACTATAGAGAACAGTTTGGAGCTTTCTCAAAAAACTAAACATAGAGTTATTGTAAGATCCAGCAATCCCACTTCTGGGTCTATATCCAAAAGAAAGGAAATCAGTATACTGAAGAGGTATCTGCACTTCCATGTTTGTTGCAGCACTGTTCACAACAGCCAACATTTGGAAACAACCTAAGTGTCCATCAACAGATGAATGGATAAAGAAAATGTAGGGTTGCCCAGGTGCAGTGGTTCACACCTGTAATCCTAGCGCTTTGGGAGGACAAGGCAGGAGGAGTGCTTGAGCTCAGAAGTTTGAAACCAGCTTGGGCAACACAGCGAGACCCTTTCTCTATTAAAAAAAATATTTAAAAAAGGGGTACATATATACAATGGAGTACTATGCAGCCATAAATAAAAATAAGATCCTGTTGCTGGGTGTGGTAGCTCACGCCTATAATCCCAGCACTTTGGGATGCCGAGGTGGGCAGATCATCTGAGGTCAGGAGTTCGAGACCAGCTTGCCCAACATGGTGAAACCCCGTCTCTACGAAAAATACAAAAATTAGCTGGGCATGGTGGTAGGCGCCTGTAATCCCAGCTACTTAGGAGGCTGAGGCAGGAGAATCACTTGAACCCGGCAGTTAGAGGTTGGAGTGAGCGGAGATGGCACCACTGCACTCCAGCCTGGGCAAAAGAGTTAGACTCCATCTCCAAAAAAAAAAAAAAAAATTAGATCCTGTCATTTGCAACAACATGGATGGAATTGGAGATCATTATGTTAAGTTAAATAAGCCAGGCAGAGAAAAACATCCCATGTTCTCACTTATTTATGGGATCTAAAAATCAAAACAATTGAATCCATGGAGATAGAGAGTAGAAGGATGGTTACCATAGGCTGGGAAGGGTAGTGGGAGGTTGTGGAGGAGGTGGGGATGGTTAATGGGTACAAAAAAAACCCTTAGAATGAATAAGACCTACCACTTGATAGAACAACAGGGTGACTATAGTCAATAATACTAAAAGAGTATAATTGGATTGTTTGTAACACAAAGGACAAATGCTTGAGGGGATGGATACCTCATTCTCCAAGATGTGATTATTATGCATTGCATATCTGTATCAAAGTATCTCACGTACCCGGTCACACGTGGTGGCTCATGCCTGAAATCCCAGCACTGTGGAAGGCTGAGGTAAGCAGATGACTTGAGGCCAGGAGTTTGAGACCCACCTGGGCAACATGGCACAACCCCGTCTCTACTAAAACAAAATAAGAATTAGCTGGGCAAGGTGGCACATGCCTAGAGTCCCAGCTACTCAGGAGGCCAAGGCACAAGAAGCACTTGAACCCTGGATATGAAGGTTACAGTGAGCCAAGATCGTGCCACAGTGAGCCAAGACTTCGCCACAGCACTCCAGCTTAGGGGAAAGAGTGAGACTCTGTCTCAAAAACAACAACAACAACAACAACAACAACAACAACAACAACAAGAGAGTATATGTAAAATATCTCATGTACTCCATAAATATATATACCTGCTATGTACCACAAAAATTAGAAATTAAAAAAAAATGCTGAGTATTTTTATTTTATTTTATTTTATTTTTTTGTTGAGGTGGAGTCTTGCTTTGTCACCCAGGCTGGAGTGCAGTGGTGCAATCTCGGCTCACTGTGACCTCCGCTGCTCAGGTTTGAGTAATTCTTGTGCCTCATCCTCCCAAGTAGCTGGGACTGCAGGTATGCATTACCGTGCCTGGCTAATTTTTTTGTATTTTTAGTAGAGATGGGGTTCCATGTTGGCCAGGCTAGTCTTGAACTCCTGACCTCAAGTGATCTGCCTGCCTCAGCCTCCCAAAGTGCTGGGATTACAGGCGTGGGCCATGTGCCTGGCCTCTGCTAAATATTTTTAAAGCATTATCATCTGTAGGTTAAAAAAATTCAATTTTTCTCGACTGGCAGATTAAACACATTAAATAATTAATTTTGAGATAGGGTCTTACCCTTTTTACCCAGGTTGAGTGCAACCTTGAATTCCTTGGCTCAAGTGATCCTCCCACTTCAGCCTGCTGAATAGCTGGGACTACAGCTATATGCTATCACGACTTTTATATCACTGGCTGATTTTTAAAAATTTTTTGTAGAGACAGGGTTTTAGTTGCCTAGTTTGGTCTTCAACTCCTGGCTTCAAGCGATCCTCCTGCCTCAGCCTCCCAAAGTATTGGGATTATAGGCATGAGCCACCAAGCCCAGACTAAACACATTATTTAAAGAGAAGTAAACTGGCATTTTTTCCTCGAAGAGTAATGAAAGCTGGGATTTATGAAGCATTTTGATTGAGCTAACTTTTAAGTATGTGCCAGTATACTTTACTATCAAAGGGAAGACCAGAAGAAAATTCTAGCCCAAATCTTTTAAAATAGCATTTCAAATTAAACTGTGGAATTAATTACCTTTTCCTCCCATCAGAATGACAGTGTTGGTCACAACATCCACAGAGTGTCCAGTAATACTTTTGCAAAAGTACTCAAGATGAAGGGAAGAAACAAGCCTTGCAGCCAAGTATTAGTTTCCTCTGCCTTCTGGTTTAATGTAACACCCATAGGTAAAACAACCAGTCTTAGCCATGTAAGTGCTATGATGGAGGACTGAATGAAATACAAGACCACAGAAGAGGAAGTAGTTATCTCTTTCTGGGTTAATCCACTGGAAGTTTTGGCTCATTTCTAAAGGAAGTAACATTGGAATCACATCTTCAAGCATAAGTAGAAGTTCATGAGCAGAAGGGGTGGGAGGAGACAATGCAAGAGAAGAAGAAAACAGTATGCTGAAAGTCAAGGAGGGCTGGGTGTGGTGGCACACGCTTGTGATCCCAGCACTTTGGGAGGCAGAGGCAGGAGAATCACTTGAACTCGGGAGGCGGAGACTGCAGTAAGCCTAGATCACGCCACTGCACTCCAGACTGGGTGACAGAGCAGAACTCCGTGGTACTTTTAAGAAACTAAGTGGTTCAAAACAGCTGGGATAAAGGCAATGGTGATGAAAGATGAGGCTGAAGTCAGACCACAAAGGGGTTTGTATTACATGAGTGATGATTCTATCCTGAAATGTATTATGTGTTAACTACCAAGAGATTAAACACATAATCAAAGGGTGATTTCAGAAACAGCATTTTATCAGCTGTGTGGGAAGAATTAGAAAGGGGATGTGTTAACAGACAAGTTTCTGGTTCCAGGAAATAATGAGGTCCTGAACTAATGACAGGATGGATTTGAAAAGCCTTTAGAAGATAACACTGATGCCTTTTAGTGAATGATTAGAGTTAGAGATAAATGAAGAGATACAGGTAAGAAAAATGACTTAGGTTTCTAATTGGTCAATTGGGTAGAACACAGGAGAAGGCAAGAAAAGGGTCAGCATGAAAGAGAAAAAAATGATGAGTGTGAGATTATTAAAAATGTTTATGGCTATGCCCAGTAGGCAGATGAAGATGGAAGACAGTATATTAAACTGGGGAGGCAGTGCACAGAAGTGGTTAAAAGGGCAGCAATGAGCTGAAGAATTAATAATGTATTAGGAGATACAGATTGAGTTTTAGTCTATTTTTTCAAGAGAGTTAGCTGGGACAAATACCTAAAAATTAAATTATAATGAGTAGGATGTCAAACTTTAAAATACGAAATTATGAATATAAGAGAATATTAAAATAGCTTGAATAGTACTAGAATAAGGAAAAGGATTAAAATCAATGAAAAATGAAATTCAAAAGGTTGGGCCAGTAAAACAAATTACTACTATTATACTACAAAAATCATTAAAATATTGACATATGCTCTGAAATTTTAAAAATGAAGCACTGAAAAGCTATCATTAGACAATTCTCATACCTCTTTATTTCTCCTAAAAGGCACCCTTAGTATTTCTTCCTGCTGCTCCAACTGCCTCAGGGTGAGGGGCTTAAATGGCGATCCTGGCAGTGATTGACAAAATATGTCATTCACAGGAGATGCTCTGAACCTATTCAGTAGGAACAAAGCATTAAAGCTATGCACAGAACACTTTAAAGCATGTGTGCATTTTATGTTTAAAATATTAAATGCACATCCTACCTGTATTTAGGATGACTGCACAAGAGTGGTGTCAAAATGACAACTTCATATTCACAAGTTGTAACTTCAGCTACTGAAAGAATTTCATGCTTAGATTCAGGATGACATATGTACATCACAGTACTTGATCTGGGCCGGTTCTGTTTCAAACTACAAGGTGTACCATTTCCCATTCCCACAGGATAGTATGGTGTCATCTGACCTTCGATATTTTTAGTGGGAATCTTAAAAAAAAGAGTATAAGACAGACTTTTAATTAGACATGGAAATGGGACTGAGGATGGGAGAGGAACTTATTATTCTGAAAGGAAGAAAACTATACATTTTACTTATTAACTGAAAGGTAATATTTCTATATTTTAAGTTCTCCCTCTAATATTATTTTGATTCATAAGTTTTTATTTGAGCAAATATGTATTTTCAGAGCTAGTTTAATACAGCAAAAAGATTATTTGGTGCCAAAATTAACATGTTAAGTAAAAGTACATTTATATAAAGGGCCATAAAATAATGATTAATATGAATTATTCTCAACAGTTCTAAAGAAAGAGACTAAGATAAAATATAGAAACTTACTATACTGGGCTGCTCAGAGCTTTCTTCTCTAAACTCTTGGTGGATGTTACAGTTTAGATTCGACAGGTTTGAAGGCTGATTTGCCAAAAAATAGGGTTGTATAGTAAAACACTGTATTCTAAAACAGAAGTTTAAACACAGTGCTGACTGGTTCATCAATCTGCTTACTCTTCTTCCCCGTTTTTCATATTAACAGCAATACTAGCCAGCATGTAAACTCCTATATAAATCTACTCAAGGCCAGCAAAAGACAAATTAAAAAATTTTCATGGAATGAAGGAATAAAGGATAGAACCTGAGAAGACAAGGATCACTAACAAGTTAGCTCCCATACTTTTCTCTACATAAACACAAGAAAAATCTACTGTAAGAACTTTAAAAAAAGTCACTGTTTATAGTATCTCCAAGCAAGCTCTTTGGAGGCAGGGATCTCATCTTCTATCACTTTAGTACCCTGTCAGCAAGCACTATGTCCAAAACCAGCAATAAATAAATGTTTTCAGGAAAAAAGGTTTTGAGATTTCCTTATATGTATGTGATTTTTAAGCCAGTGTCTAAAATTAGAAAATCCTGGGTTCAAATCCAAGCTTTAAATTTACTAGATTTATGACTTTGAATAAATTTCAGTTTTTGTCATTTGTAAAAGTAGAATAATAATATACAGTCGTGCACTGCATAATGACGTTTTGGTCAACAATGGACCTTATATAAGACAGTGGCCCCATAAGATTATAATGGGGCATATACAGAAATCTGATATATTGCATTTGATATTTGCATTGCGGTAGCGGAAATAACTGCTATTCAGTAATGGTAATGAGAACTTGGTTTTCCATGGGAAAAAAACATAAATAAAAATATACATACCATGTAGGTCTGTGTAAGTACACTCTATTATGCTCGCACAATAATAATAAAATCACCTAACCACATAATTCTCATAATGCACCTCCACTGTTAAGCGATTCATGACTGTATATTAAAAGGTTTTTGGAAGAATTAAACATTAGCTTTTGTTACATGTCTGGCAGTGTCTAGCTTATAAACTGGGGCTCAAAAAATAGTTTTCTTCCCTTACCATTTTCTTCCTCTTCCTTTATCATTTTACACTTTGTTTTTTTTTTTGTTTTTTTTTTGTTTTTTTTGTTTTTTTTGAGACGGAGTCTCGCTCTGTCACCCAGGCTGGAGTGCAGTGGCCGGATCTCAGCTCACTGCAAGCTCCGCCTCCCGGGTTTACGCCATTCTCCGGCCTCAGCCTCCCGAGTAGCTGGGACTACAGGCGTCCGCCACCTCGCCCGGCTAGTTTTTTGTATTTCTTAATAGAGACGGGGTTTCACCGTGTTAGCCAGGATGGTCTCGATCTCCTGACCTCGTGATCCGCCCGTCTCGGCCTCCCAAAGTGCTGGGATTACAGGCTTGAGCCACCGCGCCCGGCCCATTTTACACTTTGAATTCCATCTTTTGCTGTCTTCCAGAGTCACAGTAAATAACTATTTTAATCTCAAAGGTAGTCTGTAAAATTAAAATCTTTTAAAACAGCAATGCTATGTGTGTCTATGCTTAGCTTATCAAGTCTCTCCAAAGCTACCCTTTTAAGTTATAGGCATCACTTTTAAGTAATTTTCAAGGCCTCTGCCATTTTACTTTACTTCTAAAAAAAGTCTCAGTATGGTATTAAGCCATTTATGGAAATATCCTCTATTAATAAGTTATTTTTTAAAAAACTCTATAAACATTTTTGGGATTTAAAAATTGTGATTAGGTTTCCTGAGGAATTACTCTTTTTAAACAACCCTATGTTACAGACATCATTTATCCATTCTTTCAATTAACATTTATGAAGTGCCTACAATATGTCTAACACTCTGCTTGGTACTGTGGGGTAAACAGATTAAAGACAGGCCCTGCTTTTAAGATGCTTGCAGTTTGGTAGTTTGTTATTTATATTATAGTTTACCCGTTTTGCCCACAGGAGAGGGGGATCAAACAAGAGAAAAAAATGCAAAAACCTCTTAACAGTTTCAAGTGTTACATAGAAGGAACCACTGCTAAGCACAGAAGTGATATAATGCTATAACAGAATCTTTCCCAGACACATCAGTGATAGATTTATTTTTGTATAATCTTAAGAGTAAATAGAAAGACCACAGTGTAACTTTTCTCAGAAAAAACGAATATACTGCAAAGGTTCTTTGACCCAATCCTTTGAGGTATTTGACAGATGAAGAATAAGAACACAAAGCTATATTCTGTCAGTTAGGTTATATAAATTCATACCTCACTAAGTGTTAAGAGTAAAAAAAGCAACATCTGTCACTTGCCTCATTTGATTTTTCCTTTTCTTCTGCTTCTCGTTCTGTGGAATAAAGTAAGTGTAAAGAATGAGCAGTGGCATATGTGATACAAATGACTAAGTTTTCAACCACCTTTGTAACCTTAAACTTCCCTCTAAAGAAGGTCTAAAGCACATACGATTTTACTTTAAAGCTAGTTTCCTTGAAATGGTTTTGTATGAAAGGACAGTCATATTTAATCTTTACCTAGGAAATACTCTATTTCAGGCAGAAAACTGGCCACAACAACTTTCTTTTGAAGTATTTTTATCTCAGTGAAAAATTTAATATTAAATTAGTTGACCAATCTGAATATAGAATAAACATATATCACCATTTGAGAGATACATCTATTTCTACATATAATAACTGCTTAAACCAAGCAGAAGACTAACACTATATAAATATAACACTAACATGCACCTGACATTGTTTTCACTATTTTCTGCTTTGATAAACATGTTTTTTTCTTACTTATTTTAGTAAAGCTTTTAGGCTGTGCATGGTGACTCATGCTCATGCATACAATCCCAGTACTTGGGGAGGTTGGGGTGGGTGGATCGCCTGAGCCAGGAGTTTGAGACCAGCCTGGGAAACATGGCGAGATTCCATCTCTACAACAAATACAAAAATTAGTGGGCATGGTGGCATGTGCCCGTGGTCCCAGCTACTTGGGACGCTGAGGCAGGAAGATCACTTGAGCCCAGGAGGTCGAGGCTGCAATGAGCTATGTTCATGCCACTGCACTCCAGTCTGGGTGACAAAGAGAGACTCTGTCTCAAAAAAAAAAAAAAAGGTGAAAACAAAGACTTCTTCAAAAGTTTTGCAAGGGACAGTTCAGAAACCTATTTCAGTATTTTAAAATTCACAGACTGTCCAAAAAAAAAATCTCTTAAATTCCAATTTGAACATATATTTTAAACCAAATTCCAGCATTACTGTCAAATCACTGGGTAGACACCAACCTTTTTCAAATAGAAGGTTCTTGGCCAACATATTCCCAAGGTAGTACTCGTGAATATTTATTTTCTATATTGAAAAGTAAAATAAAAATATACTAAGTATTTTGCAAAGACATTTTTAAGGATACAACTTTAAAACTATCAATCTCATTATTCAAGTTCTCATCTTATAATGTTTCATAATATTTTGAAGAAAAACACACCTGACCAGTTTCTTTCTCTTCATGGTACTGCCGAATGTGTTTTCCGTGACATACTTCATAAGTCCAATAAGACTCAATCTAAGAAAGACGGATATGTTTCAATATACAAAAGCCACATAACTCAGCTGAATTACTTTTTGATATTTGAAGCAGCTGAGATTTCCCCTAAGATTTCGGAGTAAGCTTTCATTAAATGACACTTACAATTATGCCTCAGAAAAATGTGAAATTTCTGAAGTCTATTCATTATTTTCACTAGCTCTGTGTGAGAATTCTGTGAAGTAAATAGGTCTAGAATACACTTGGGGTCTGTAATAATTACCTGGCTTAGGGATAATTTTCTACATAGCTTAAAAAAATAAAAATTAGCATTTTAAATTAAAATTCTCTTATATACTTTTGGCCGGGTGTAGTGGCTCACGCCTGTAATCCCAGCACTTTGGGAGGCCAAGGTGGGTGGATCACCTGAGGCCAGGAGTTCGAGACCAGCCTGGCGAACATGGCAAAACCCCATCTCTACTAAAAAACACAAAAAAATTAGCGGGGTGTAGTAGCGCGTGCATGTAATCCTAGCTACTGGGAGGCTGAGGCAGAATCACTTGAACTTGGGAGGCAGAGGCTGCGGTGAGCTGAGATCGTGCCACTGCACTCCAGCATGGGCTGCATGGGTGACAGAGCTAGACTCTGTCTCATTAAAAAAAAAAAAAAAAAAAAAGGCAGAAAACTTTAGTTTCAACTGAAAAACATTCAAAACAGCTTGCTAAATGGTATGATTTGTTATTGGTATTATTTGGTATCTGCTGCACACACTAGACAGGAATTGAAATGAGTAAGATGTTATTAAGAAACAACTAGCCAGACACAGTGGCTCATGCCTGTAATTCTAGCACTTTGAAAGGCTGAGGTGGGTGGATGGCTTGAGTTCAGGAGTTTGAGACTAGTCTGGGCAACACTGTGAAAAACCTCGTCTCTACAAAAGAACACAAAAATTAGCAGGGCATGGTGGTGCTCAGCTACTGGGGAGTCTGAGGTGGGAGAACAGCTTGAGCATGGGAGGTTGGGGCTGCAGCTAGTCGTGATCATGCCACTATACTCCAGCCTGGGTGACAGAATGAGACCTTTTCTCTAAAAGAAAAAAGCAAAAAAAACAAAAAGAACTCAGATTTATACCTAACTTAACATCTGATACAACAGGAACAGAGAACCAAATACTCATTTATAAGTGAGAGCTAAAAAATGAGAACACACGGACACAAAGAGGGGAATAACAGACTTGGGGCATTCTTGAAGTTAGAGAATGGGAGGAGGGAGAGGATAAAAACAAAAACAAAAACAAAAAAAAGCAACCCATCAGGTACTATACTCATTACCTAGGTGACTAAATAGTCCGTACACCAAACTCCTGTGACATGCAGTTTACCTATGTAACAATCCTGCATGTGTAACCCTAAACCTATAACAATAGTTAAAAAAAACCTGATACAACATAATAAAGAAGAAACGGTATTTTCAAAGGTCTGTTGGCTGTTGGTAATCATTTTCTAGTCATCAAGTAAACATAAAATACATACTCTGTAGGAACAACTGCTTTGTTTAAATAGTGGTTCCAAAAGTTCTCTTGGATTAGGGCCTTTATAATCCTTTTCTTCTTCCTAAGAAAGAATTGGAGTTTAATACTTACAGTCTTTCTAGAATTTCACCCAACTTTGCTGTTCCGGTATTAACTCATTACTCAAATCACAAATGCTTAGAAATAAAAGAGAAAAAAAGTCAAAATGTTTAACAACATCCTAAGGTATGCCACTGCTTTCAAATGAACTGAAGTACAAAATATGGAGCCATAAAATAATCTTTCATAGAGTTCATTCTTTCTTTAAAAAAAGGTCTTTTAAAATGTATTTTTGTTTTTCACAAGGCAAGAATGGAAGGAAAAAAAGGTTTTTAAGTATCAGTTTCCTGAACAATTCTTATAAACTTATTTCAGAATTTTTAAATGCTTTTACCCAAACAAATTCTTAGATATGAAAGCCTTAGAATAGTTGAATCTTACAGAATATATTGGAAAGTTTTAAGGTACTTTTCAGTTTTCTACATATTTTTACATTTCAGATTTGAATGCCGTGTGTGTGTGTGTGTATGTGTGTGTGTGTGTGTGTGTGTGTCTCAAGGAGACTTAAAATAGTGGTCTTAGATTTCAAATCTGAACAAAACCCAATAAAGCACTGAGTTTAATATTTCTGTTTTCCAGATCATGAAAATATTATTGAATTGGCTTAATAAATTTATTGAGTGGAGGAAGTGAGTTTCAAATTTGTTCCACAGCTAACTATAGCCTATACCTCAGCCTCCTGGCTCCTAGGCTGGTGTCCTTTCCATTTTACCATGCTGCCTCTCCTGTTTCATCTTGAAAGAAGTCATTGCCTTGAAGGATGGATAAGAGGCAGTTAGGGCATTTCAGGAGGAAGATAAGGGCATGAGCTAAGGTAATGAGAAAGCATGGGGTACCTACAGACTTACTTATAAACAATTCTTTATTTTGAAAGTCACATATACATTTAAAAATTATATCTTGCTTTAAAACTCTAATGTCTACAAAGAAAGCAAGTGTGGAGTTAGATTTTTATTCAAACCATTAAAAATTGGTTGCAGCTGGGCATGGTGTCTCACGTCTGTAATCCCAGCACTTTGGGAGGCTGAGATGGGTGGATCACGAGGTCAAGAGATCCAGACCATCCTGGCCAACATGGTGAAACCCTGTCTCTACTAAAAATACAGAAATTAGCTGGGCGTGGTGGCGTGCACCTGTAATCCCAGCTACTCGGAAGGCTGAGGCAGGAGAACTGCTTGAACCTGGGAGGCGGAGGTTGCAGTGAGTCAAGATCATGCCACTGCCCTCCAGTCTGGCGACAGAATAAGACTTCGTCTCAAAAAAAAAAAAAAAAAATTTGGTTGCTAATTTTTCCAAGATAAACTGCAAAATCAAAGAATTCAGGAATATTAAAACCAATTAATACTTTTATGCTAAAACAGTCTTATTGAGAAATCTGTTATTCAATTTTACTTCAAAGTATGTAGTTACAATGTTTTACATAAATATTTTTGGTGACAGGATTATCGATATATCTATAAAAACTTACCTCATCCCCACTTGTCACAAGGGGAAGTATGCATTTATATTTTTCTTTATGTGCAGTTGTCATGATGACATAATTATCTTCTTTATACAAAACTCCAGTTGTGGGCTGCAAATAGAACAAAAAATATACATTACATTCTTCTCTGTGAAATTGTATCACATTGAATAACTTCAGTCCTAGCTGGAAAAAAAGATTCTTTAAACTAATTTAACATTTCAACATATGATTATTTTAAAGGGAGGGAAAATATGCTACATACATTAATAAAAATTTTAGATTCAGGAGGGTACATGTGCAGGGTCTGTTACATGGATATATTGCATGATGATGAAGTCTGAGCTTCTAATATTCCTGTCGCCCAAGTATTGAACATAGTACCCCAGTACTTGGTAAGCAGTTTGTCACCCTTTCATCTCTCCTGTCTTTTGGAATCTCCGGTGTTTATTGTTCTTGTCTTTGAGCGTGTATTCAACGCTTAGCCTCTACTTATAAATGAAAATATACGGTATTTGGTTTTCAGTTTCTGTCTTAATTCACTTAAGATAATGACCTCCAAGCTGCATCCATGTTGTTGCAAAGGACGTGCTTTCATTCTTTTTTGTGGCTTCATCAACATACTTATTAATTACAAAATGAAAGTAATAAGCTTTATTCTGGTGTCATAATAGGAAAATAAATGAACAAAATAATGTTTGGAGTATAAAGAAAAAAAGGAGGAATGCAATAGATTGAAGCTAAAATAGTGATTATACTTGGGAGGTTGAGGTGGGAGGACTGCTTTAGCCCAGGGGTTCAAGATCAGCCTGAGCAACGTGGCAAGACCCTGTTACAAAACAAAACAAAACAAAACAAAAAAAAAAAGGAAAAGAAAAGAAAAAAAGGCACTAAGAGGTGGCAATGAATGTTCATAGATACACCATCACTGAACACTTATTACTGCTACTAGCAATTACCATCTATATATGAATCCACAGCACTTTACAAATATATAGTACTCTCAGTTCTGTTGCATGGGACATGAAAGTAATGTAATACAGTATTTTTCATATTTGGAGAATGTATGAATTTATCCACAAATAAATTCCTTTTAAAAGCAAATTACTACAATCATCTGTGTTGACTTGACTTTATTTTTATTATTATTATTATTTTAATTTTTTTTTGAGGTGGAGTCTTGCTCTGTCTCCCAGGCTGGAGTGCAGCGGCGCAATCTTGGCTCACTGCAAGCTCCATCCCCCGGGTTCACGCCATTCCCCTGCCTCACCCTCCCAAGTAGCTGGGACTACAGGCACCCACCACCACGCCCGGCTGATTTTTTCTATTTTTAGCAGAGACGGGGTTTCACCGTGTTAGCCAAGATGGTCTCGACCCCGACCTCGTGATCCGCCCGCCTCGGCCTCGCAAAGTGTTGGGATTACAGGCGTGAGCCACCGCACCTGTGCGACTTAACTTTTTCTTAGTATATATCAGGGGTCAGCAAACTTTTGTAAAGGGCCAGAGAGTAAATATTTTAGGGTTTGTGAGCCATATGGTCTCTGTTGCGCCTCTGCCACTCTAGCAACCAAAGTACACAAACAGTAGGTAAACAAATAGGGATGATGATGTACTAATAGAACCTTATTTATAGAAATACATGGTGGGACAGCACCATGGCTGTAGTTTGCTGACTTCTGGCATATATTGACAAAATTATCCTTAAAGCTTTTTACAATATGAAACCAAACAAATTCACATTGGTTAGTATGAATCAACAGAATTCAAATAAACACTTCAATTAATACAACTGATATTATTTTAGTAAAAACAAATCTCTGCTCTCTGATAGAAAATGTGATACTTGTTTTACTAAGGCAGAAATGTTTGTGTTTTATGATACATGTTCTAAGATAATTCAATTATCTCTTCACTTTCCTCTTATGGTACTGTGCAACTATGGTACTATTTAGCTATTCCTGGCAAGGAGAACCTCTTCTTATTAAGGACTTTTGTTCTATTCTCAATTTAATAATAACTTTTTTTTTTTTTTTTTTGAGACAGGGTCTCTCACTAACCTAGGCTGAGTGCAGTGGCATGATCAAAGCTCACTGTAGCCTGACCTCCTGGACTCAGGCGATCCTCCCATCTCAGCCTCCCTAGTAGCTGGGACTACAGGTACGTGCCACCATGCCTCGGTAATTTTTCTGTAGAGATGGGGTTTTGTCCTGTTGCCCAGGTAGGTCTCAAACTCCTAGGCTCAAGCCATCTGGCAGCCTCTGTCTCCCAGGGTGTTCGTATTACAGGCATGAGCCACTGCCCTGGCCTAACAACTCTTAACTATAATAAAACCAGCACTACTTGGCACCAATGTAATCCTAAACACAAATGCAAATTACAGCATTTTCCGCAAGACAACAAAACAAAACAAAGCAGTAAGTACTAGCTGTATTAGTTCTAGGACAGTACTGTTTTTAAGTGTTTTACATTCATTAACTCATTAATCCTCAAAACAAGCATTACACTCATTTTTACAGAAACATATACTAAGGTCCAGGGCTTAAACAATTTGTCCAAGGTTAAAAAACCTAGAGGTAGCAGAGGCCAGAGAATTCAAACAGATTGGCTCCATATTCTGTAAGCTCTTAAATATTTTAACATATTTGAATGAGCTTTTACAAATGTTTTCTAGATTACTATGTAGACTTGAATTGTGGCCAAGGACACTTGTTTAAAAGGCCACTGTAAGTCAGGTGTGTCTCAGCTACTCAGGAGGCTGAGGCGGGAGAATTGCTTGAGCCCAAGAGTTTGAGTCCAGTCTGGGCAACTTGGTGAGACCCCGTCTCTCTTTAAAAAAAAAAAAAAAAAAAAAAGAGCATTATAGATGATGAGGGAATCAAAGAGATTTGAAAGTAAGAGTTGCAAAGCTAAACTTACAAAGAATTTCTTAGAAACATTCAATTGTGCCAACGATTTGCTATAAGACATAACATTTGTAATTCCTTTCAAAATGGTCTCCAAAATGCTTACCATGTAAAAAGAAAATGCTTGTTTGGAACCACAGCAAAAAAGGGAAGACAATTCTTGATGCAAATAATTGTCTTTCATTAGTTTAGGAAAGGCTGCTTTCCCAATAAAATAGGCCAAATAGCAATTCTATCTGAAAACTCTTTGCTGAAATATTGAGTCACTTATTGGGACCACAAAACATATTTTTAGCAAACTTTACTTTTTGGTAACAGCAATTACGGAGAAAAAGTTAATCTTTTGTGATTTTTCTAAAAATTTTGATCTACTAAAATCAGGATTCTGATTTTGTAAAACAGGTTCTTACTTTAAGAAAACAAAATATAATAAACTCAGACTGTACAGAATTAGATAGTATAAAAAACTTTTTTTATATAACAAGGTATTCTCAGTGGAAGAGGAAATCAGCGATTTGACATAAAGTCAAATTTTATTAGAGATTTGATATAAAGTCAAACTTTAATATAATGAAACTAATCAGAGGAGCTGGGGTACTTTAAAAGTTAAGGAACTTTAAAAATATCTTGGCATGAGAGGAATTCCTAATGTTTGACGTGGGTCTGGAGGAATTAAGATGGTTAGAGGATGAGAGAACTTCTATAATGGTAGAGGCTATAAAATACACCTGTCGATAGAACCTGTCAATGCTATAAACATGCTATAAACCATGGAGTTGGTCAAAGAGTAGTGCTTGGTAAAATCTGAGTAAAATATATTCTACATCCACAACAGAAGTAGACAGAAAATTAGACTGATTCGTGGTTTAATTTGGTGAAATCTATGAACTCTATAAAGTGATGAATAATTGAACATAATGACAGAGGTGATACTTCAGAAGGAAAATATATACACAAAAACAAAACAATGCTAAACATCAATAAGCAAAGAATATCATAATTATTAACTAGTTAATGTACACATTAAAAAATTCACAAATTTTTTGTTCAGGTGAGATGGCTCATGCCTGTAATCCCAGTGCTTTAAGAGGCTGAGACCAGAGGATAGTTGTGACCAGGAGTTTGAAACCAGCATGAGCAACATAGGGAAACTATCTCTACCAAAACACAAACAACCCCCATTTTACAGTTTTGGTGCTTAATACTTTTTCTAAGCAAATCTGAAAGCAAGATTGTAAGTGATTATATATTGTTTCAATATATCTGAATGGGAAGATGATTTAAATAAGGTAATTTTAAAGCTTAAAAAATTCAGATCTTCTAATCCAGTCTCTTCCAATTTCAGATAGTAGACAGACAAAGGACCTTATCCTATTTCATACAGCTGCATATTAGGTACAAATGTCCAACCAGCGGCCAGGCACGGTGGCTCACGCCTGTAATCCCAGCACTTTGGGAGGCCGAGGTGGGCGGATCACTTGAGGTCAGGAGTTTGAGACCAGCCTGGCCAAAATGGTGAAACCCCATCTCTACTAAAAATACAAAAAAAATTAGACGGGTGTGGTAGCGAATGCCTACAATCCCAGCTACCGGGGAGGCTGAGGCATGAGAATCGCTTGAACTTGGGAGGCAGAAGTTGTAGTGAGCTGAGATGGCACCATTGTACTCTAGCCTGAATGACAGAGCGAGACTCTGTCACAAACACACACAAATGTCCAACCAACTGGCCCATTAAAAAAATGGCAGTGCCAGGTGAGGAGGGCAGTAGTTTCTTTTTCTTTCTTTTTGAGACAGACTCCTTCTCTGTTGCCCAGGATGGAGTGCAGTGGCACGATCTTGGATCACTGCAACTTCTGCCTCCAAGGTTCAAGCAACTCTCCTGCCTCAGCATACCAAGTAGCTGGAACTACAGGCATGTGCCACCATGATGGGCTAATTTTTTCATTTGCAGTAGAGACAGGGTTTTGCCATGTTGCCTAGGCTAGTCTCAAACATCTGGCCTCAAGTGATCCACCCAGCTCAGCCTCCTAAAGTGCTGGGATTATAGGCGTGAGCCACTGTGCCCAGCCAGTAGTTTCAGTTAAATGTACCAGCAAAGGGAAGCCTTAAGATTATAGAAATATTAAAAAAAAAAAAATGCCAATGATAATGACTATTGTGGCTTATTTTTACATAAAGGACATAGGCCTTGTGCCAATTCATAGAACAGTATCTCTAATTTTTCTCAAACTAACGCAGACTTAAAGAAAAAAAAGCCAGATACAGTGGTGACCACCTGTAGTCCTTGCTGCTCCAGAGGCTGAGGCAGGAGGATCGCTTGAGTCCAGGAGTTCGAGGCTGTAGTGAGCATAATCATGCCTATAAATACCTACTGCACTCCAGCCTTTAAAAAAGAATTTTTTTTTTTTTTTGAGATGGAGTCTCACTCTGTCACCCAGGCTGGAGTGCAGTGGTGCGATCTTGGCTCACTGCAACCTCCGCCTCCCGGGTTTAAGTGATTCTCCTGCCTCAGCCTCCCAACTAGCTGGGATTACTGGTGTGCACCACCACACCCAGCTAATTTTTGTGTTTTTAGTAGAGACAGGGTTTCACCATGTTGGTCAGGTTTGTCTTGAACTCCTGACCTTATGATCCGCCTGCCTCGGCCCCCCAAACTGCTGGGATTACAGGCGTGAGTGAGCCACCACGCCTGGCCAAAGAATTTTTTTTGAAATAAAATTGTTAGATACGTGAAAGGTTGGTGTAGCATATGCTAAGACTGAAAGAAAATGGAATGACAATTTGGTAGTGACCTCTAAAAATGCTAGTTTTAATAGCTCACTTATAGGCAATTAAGTTTTCAGGGCTATGTATCAGCAAGTTTTTTTAAATTTAAAAAAAACCACAGGTGCAAGAGTAAAAAATTTTAATGACATAATTCTTCAAACATCTGCCATATTCACTCCAAGTGTGCTCTTTGGATACAATAACAGAGATTAAAGTATTCTCATCCAAGCTTGCTAAAGTTATATCTGATTCATAACAAAATTTTGCATAGGCATTTTAATATAGCAATATTTCGTGGCAATACAAAGAGAAATTTGACTTCCCAGAAAAATGTTTACCTAGATAAATTCAGAAGCCATTGAACAACCAGAATGGGAGAACAAAGGCTGGAGAAACAAACCAGATGTGAAAAATAAGCAAAAGAACTTAACATTTGATTCACATATGTAATCCGAGTACTTTGGGAGGCTGAGGCAGGAGGATTGCTTGAGCCCAGGAGTTCAAGACTCTGACTTTAGGAAAAAAAAAAAAAAATTAGCCAGGGGTGATGGGGTTTCCCTGTAGTCCCAGCTACTGGGAAGCTGAGGCAGGAGGATCTCTTGAGCCCAGGAGGTCGAGGCTGCAGCCAGTGGTGACCGTGCCACTGCACTTCCGGATGGGCAACAGACTGAGACCCTGTCTCAAAAAACAAACAAAAACACCCAACCCAAACCAAACCAAAAAACCCCTAACATTTGCAAATAGAAAGCTATCTGGTAATCATAACATCCATTAACTTGATACATCTTGTTTTGACATCATAGTATCACTTACTGTTTCAATAATATCGTAATAAAAGAATATAATAAAGTATTGCAAGTTGAACGCTTGAAGGTAATTGGAATAAAAAGTTAAAAAAAAATTTGCTTTTTCCGGGACTTCAATTTGAAATAAATGAGTTAATTATTACATGGTAAGTGTCATAAGAGTACAATTTGTATGGGCCTGCAGTAGGTACACGTGGACAGGAAGACTTTTCAGCGGTCCACTCCCCCGAGACTGAATTTTCATTTCCGCGAGGTTATAAATATGTTCTTCACTATAGGAAAACAACATAGAAGCTCATGTTCTGGGGACTCAAATAGCAGTCGTAATACATGAAAACTGTAAAGCATATTCTGCATAAAGGGTCGTTAACATCTCACAAGCCAAACAGCCCTCTCAGAAACAACTCTGAAAGGAAAAGATTCCCTTGGAGCTGTGCGTTTGCGTATGTTCGTGTGTGTATACAACAGAGGGAGAACGAATACGAGAGAGGGAACTCGAGTCTGAAGTACTGTGGTGTGGGCAGCGTGCCGTGTAATACTGAAGGAAAGAAGTCTGCTGGTGGAGAAAGAGCCACAGTTAATTTTCCAAAAGGAAGATGAGTAAGTGCACCTGACGTTACTCTACGAAAGCTGCTTCTGCAGGGTGGGAGTGTTCGGAAGCAAGGTCTAGTGCGACAGAATTAAAAAGGTAGAGAGCAGGTGATCGCTGGATCCCTAATGCTCAGCAAGGGGGACGCCTCCACATAACGTGAGAACGAATGAATGAATGAACGCGACATAAAAGCAGCTTTGGCTTGGAGAAGGTAAGAGTCTGCAGAGAAGGTCTTAGGGAGAAAAAGCAAAGAAAACCGAGGGAAGAGGCCGAACCCTTAGTATCAGGAGGAGGGGTGGCTGCGGGGTTAGTGAGGGCACTGACCAGAGAGAACTCGGTGCCGGGCCAATTGACTCGGAAAGGGATGTCATCGCTGAGTTGAGGGAGGGCTAGGCCGCCGCGAGACGCCTCCAGGAGGCCGCAGAGGACCAGTAACACCGGCCCGCCCGGGACCAGACTCCGTACGCCGCCTCCTCCTTCCTCCATCCTCCGCCACCGCTTTTTCCAGCCACTTCCACAACCTCCTCTGCTCTAGGAGGAGAGGAGGAGGAGGAGGTGGAGGAGGAGGCGGCGGGACTATAAAGGGCCCGGGTAGCCCCGGCCCAACCGCCGCCACGTCTCCTTCCGGAGAGCCCGGCAACACCGCCTCCGCCCCCTTGAGCTTCTTGTCGCCGTTTCCGGGGCAGACGACATATCAACATCCGGGGCCGGGGGTCGCGGAGCCGTCCGCCTACGGGGGCCGGGACGTCGGCTGAGCGTCTCTCGTTTTCGGACCGCTGCAACATCGCGGTGGGGCTCGAAAGCGGGGACCTTCTGGGACGCCGCATCTGGAGACGCGGTCTCGGACCGGCCATTTCGGTGTAGAAGTGGCAGCACGGCAGGCCGGTGAGTCTCGGAGGCGGCAGCCGCTTCCTGAAGCCACTCGTGCTGCTCTCCAGTGGGCAGGTAGAGGTTTGGCCCATACGGAGTGAGAGTGGGAAGAAGACAGTGTGAACAGTGCGGGTGCGGTCCTTAGATGAGAAAATTCAAAGTAGCATGAGTTATGAGAAATGGCGGTGTTCCTGACTGACCTGCCTTCTCGCAGCTTTTCTTCTTTTTCTCCGCGTTTGGCATTTGTCTTTCCCGCCTGAAGCTTCCCTGCACCTCTTCTGCTGTACACCGTGGCCGTCTCGTTACTTCACAGCTTCTGACTAACGCAGGGCAGTTTGTTCAGCGACTGCAACTCTGTGTTAGGGGAAACCTGGGGTGAGGTAGCCCGCCATCTCCCGGTAGAATACCGCGAGCCTCCGAATTTGGCATGGTGGGAGACTCTCGTGGAATGGACAGCTAGACATTACATACAGCCCTACATTTTTTACCCCAAGGGGGTCCTCCGTCTCTAGATTCAAGTGTTGGGATGTTGTTTTATCAAGGAAGCCGATAAGATTCCTTATGTGAGGTTCAGCGCCAGATGAATGTGTCGTTATAAACTAAGTCACATCTGACTGCATCCCCAAATTAAACAAAAACTTTTGGTTTCCCCTCCCCCTCTTCAGAAAAAAATGCCGTTGTCTGTTTTGATCTCCAATGTGATGGACATACAGTGTTGGCTTTAGAGCAATTACCATTCTCTTCCTGCGAGGTTGGAAAAGCTCGACAGTCTTGCTAGATCTGTTAAAGACTGGTTGCCCCCACTTCCTCAGATTTGAACCAAATCCAAAAGCAGGAAGAACAGTCCCATTTTCTATCTGTAAAAATTTATTTTTAGCATAAGGAATCCATGGTCTCAAAGAAAATAACTTTGTTCAGAATTGTTATTCGCTAATTATATTCAGCACTTCTTATTAATGCTTAATATGTTCCAGACTACTGGGATTTTTGTTGTTGTTTGTTTGTTTGTTTTGAGACAGAGTCTCGCTCCGTCACCCAGGCTGGAGTGGGCGTAATCTCGGCTCACTGCAACCTCCGCCTCCCGAGTTCAAGGGATTTTCCTTTTTCTCAACCTTCCCAGTAGTTGAGATTACAGGTGCGTGCCACCACACCCTAATTTTTGTATTTTTAGTAGAGACAGGGTTTCACCCTGTTAGCCAGGCTGGTCTTGAACTCCTGACCTCGGGTGATCCGCCCTCCTCGGCCTTCCAAAGTGCTGGGATTACAGGCCTGAGCCACTGTGCCCGGCTCCACTGGGATTGGTAAAATGGCAAATAAATGGGTTTCTGTCTTCGGTCTCAGTCTAGCCAGGGAGATTGTACAAACAAATGATTGCAAACTATTACAGTAGTAATAACAGTTAACTTCCTTTTTTTTTTTTTTTTTTTTTTTTTTTAGCATTTATTCTGTACTAAGCACTAGTCTTAAGTCATGAAGGAAAAGAGATGTACTTGACTAAATAAAAATGAAAACTTTCTGTGACGTCCTGTTTTAGCATTTAGAACTATAGTGATTGAATCTGTGTTCAATACAGCTGATATTTAAGTAAGAGGGAACTTAAGTAAAATAATTTCTGGTATTGGTAAGTGCTGCGAAGAAACTAGGGTTATGTGAAAGAGAATACCCGTGGGATGTGTTGCTTTTAGTACGTAGGGCAGAGGAGACTTCTGTGAGGAAGTGACATCTGAGCTGTGACTTGAATGATGAGAAGGGAGCCAGACAGATTTCCAGGCAGAGGCCCTGAGGCAGGAATGAGCTTGATGTGTTGGAGTGATAGAAAGAAGGCCGGTGTGGCTGGAGTGTAAGAGGAAGGTGGTAGAAGTTTGAGAAGCAGAAAGAGGCCAGGGAGACACAGCTCTGTAGGCAGGAGAGTGGACAGGACGCGATGTGCATTTGTGAAAATCATTCTGGCTGCTGTGTGGAAAATTGATTATAGGGGGTGTTGTGGGTTTAATTGTGTTCCCCAAAAAGATACGTTTAAGTCCTATCCCCTACAACCTGTGAGAGTGAACTTAGTTGGGATAGGGACTTTGCAAATGTAATTCAAGTAAGGATGAGATCATACTGAATCGAAGGAGGCCCTAATCCAATGACTGGTATCTTTATAAGAAGCGGGAAATTTGGATACAGATGGAGACACAAGGAGAATGCCATGCCATGAAGGAGGAGGCAGAGATTGGAGCATGTGTCTGTAAACCAAGGAACGCTAAAGATTGCCAGTAATCACCACAAGCTAGGAAGAGGCAAGGAAGAATCCTCCTCTAGAGCTTTCAGAGAGAATAGCCCTGCTGACGTCTTGATTTCTGACCTCCAGTTTCTAGAATTGTGAGAGAATCAATTTATGTTGTCTAAGCTGCTCAGTTTGTGGTAATTTGTTACAGCAGCCTCAGGAAGGTAATAGAGGCTGAAAACAAAAAAGTAGCTGAGACAAGTGTCAACCAATTTAGAAGTTTATTTTGCCAAGGTTAAGGACATGTCATTGACACAGCCTCAGGAGGTCCTGACAGCATGTGCCCAAAGTGGTCGGGCTACACTTGGGTTTTATACATTTTAAGGAGCCATAAGACATCAATCAATACAAGTCTTCTATGCTTTATTTATAGGTTGATTCTTAAACATTGAAAACCTATCAACTATTTGCCATATTATAATTATGCAATCATCATTCACTATAAAACCAGTAAGTATGATTGCATCTGCAGGGAAAAAATGTAATTCTACCTCTGCCAATTAAGGTATCCTATTAGCTTCCTAATAATGGCACTATATTTGCTAAAATAAATTCATTTTGCTCCTGAAGCTATCTTTCCAGCTCTCACACGTGTAATTTAGACTAGCTGCTTTCCAAGTCAGTTGCATACCTGTTTTCTGAGATTTCTTTGTGTCATGCCTGGGTTAGATCTACTGCTTTATGTATTCCATGTCCTCATTTGTCACAGATTTTTTTCCCACCTTGTTGGGGTAAAACTAATTTCAAGCAATTTTTTTCAGAAAGGGTTAAACAGGTAATTTAATTTCCACAGGCTTCATATGTCTGAAAATGCCTTTACCTTTCCTGCTCATTTAATGATAGCTTGGGAATAGACTTAGTCCACAATCATTTTGTTTTCTTCAAAACTTTGAAGACATTTTGTTGCTTTTTAGCGTCTAGTGTATCTGATGACAAGTCTAATGCTGTGTCTTTCTTTTGCAGGTATCATACTTTTTTCTCTGGAAGATTTTATTAGACTGTTTTCTTTATCATTGGTTCTGTGATATTTTATGAGAGTGTTTCTAGGTGGTGAATCTTTTTTCATTCATCCTTCTTGGCACTCTATGAGTCCTATTTTTCACTTCTGGAAAATTTTCTTCAGTTATTTCTTTAATTATGTTCTTACATTTTCTCTATTCTATTCAGAATTTAGATACGTTCTTCCACATACATTTAGATAGATTCTTCCAAATACAGAGGAAAAATATAAAAAGAAAAAATATATAATATGAAGGATCAATCCAAGAGGACCATTTCCTTGACTTTCAGTTTTTTTCACTTTCTTTATTCAGTGGTTCCCCCCCCCCCCCAGTTTCTAGTTACTGATTTTTAATGGATGCATTGTTCTCATGACATGAATTTCTTTGAGGATTACACTTATAACTTTTAAGTATTTATCCCCCATTCCTGGAAATAGCTCTACTTCTTTCAGGTCAATTGTTTATTTTCATCTTTTTCTGTTGAGATTTTCCTTAAAAAAAAAAAAAAAAAAAATCTTGGTCGGGCATAGTGGCTCACACCTGTAATCCCAGCACTTTGGGAGATTACCTGAGGTCGGGAGGTCGAGACCAGCATGGCCAACATGGTGAAACCCTGTCTCTCTGAAAATACAAAAATTAGCCAGAAGTCCTGGCAGGCTCCTGCAATTCCAGCTACTCAAGAGGCTGGTGCAGGAGAATCACTTAAACCTGGGAGGCGGAGGTTGCAGAGAGCCAAGATTGCACCATTGTACTCCAGCCTGGGTGACAAGAGTGAAACTTCATCTTAAAAAAAAAAAAAATTATTGAGTTCTTTTGTAAGTGAGCAGGGTACTAGCTGTTGGGTCTCACTTGAGGGTCCTTGAGTGAAGTGCAAGAAACGAGTTACCTCTTTCCTCCTCTCTTTCCACCCTGTACCCAAATAACGAATGCTTTGTTATGGAACATGAGGATGCTCAAATGCTTCCAGGGTAGACTGTTAAATTAAAAAGAGCAACAACAACAAAATAGATGTGGTTTTAGCCAGAAACAAATACTGTTACTGCCAGGCTTTTTATGTGTAAAGGGCTGTGGTAAAAAGTTTGACTTGCTGTTTCATATAAATCTTACAATAATTCTGATTTTAGTCCTACATCGTTCTTCTGCTTCTGTTTCTAAGATTGGTAACATCTCCAGGCTCTGCTGGCAAGAATGTCTTCTACATTGCTATAGCCTTCTCATGTACGCATGTGTGTTTGTTCTGGACTGCAGTTTTCTCTGCACTGGCTTAAACCTCAATATGATCCCACCTGCTTTCTCTTCCAGAATGAATGAATACATTTCAGTGGGATTTTGTTAGGAAGCGGAGGAAAATGTATGTGCTTAGTTTGTCTTGCATAGAGTGAGTAATCCTTTTTTTTTTTTTTTTTTTTGAGGCAGTGTCTCACATTGTCACCTGGCTGGAGTACAGTTGCGTGGTCACTGCTCACTGCCACCTCAACCTCTGGGGCTCAAGCAATCCTCCCATCACCTCAGCCTCCTCAGTAGCTGGGACTACAGGTGTGCACCAGCTTGCCTAGCTAATTATTTTATTTTTTAAATTCTTGGTTTCCCAGAGTGTTGGGATTACAGATGTGAGCCATGGCAACCAGC